TCAGACACTATCAAAAGAGTCTTCTGCATCATCTGAATCTTCTGAATCAAGTGAACCACCTGATTTTGACAAAATTTTGACTGGAGTTGTGGCTTTTATTGATATAAAAAGCAAAGAGGGTGATCGTTCCAGTGGTGTGAAAGCTATTTTACGATCTATGGGGGCAACAATTGCAGAACATTTCAATAGAGAAGTTACTCACGTTATATTCAAGGTAGATATAATAAAAATCACATGAGGTCTCATTTTTATATATATTTGTGATGTCATTGCAGTTTGAAAATGTTGATAAAGTATACTTCATTGTAAGTTTTCTCTATTATGAAGGATTTATATATCCAATTAAGTGAATTTTCTGTCCAAAATTCTAGAGTTGGAATTGAATGGTTTTCCTCCAAAATATTTCACGAAATATTCGTGAAAAAAAGGTGATTCTTGTAAAAGTAATTCACTTCATCCATAATAGCAATCAAAAATTCATAATTCGTTCATTACATTTTGCATTTCCTCCTTAAGAAAATTTTAGTTTTGATTATTATTAATTATTGGTAAATGATATTTGTTAAGTTTTTTCCTTTTTTGTTGAACTAACATTACTTCAAATATCACCCTTAATTTTTAATAATGCAAGTGAGGTGAGCTGAAATGAGGAACGAATTTTTTGGTGAATATGAAAATTAAGTGACATTGTAATTAGAGATTGAACTGAATATCAAAAAATGAAGCATTAGTGACCCAACACAAGACAGTGCCATTTCGATCCACCATTGACCTCATCAGTGCTGCTGGGCTGAACAGTAAAAGCAATGTTGCATTCAACTGTCTTCGAAGGAGTAAGGAAGCTTGGTTATCTTTAATATTTGTGGATTGAGTCTTCTGTTGATTTCATATATGGTGTCTATGTAAGGGGAAATGTTATTGTAGTTTACTAGTAGTAACTGAGTTTTTGATAATTTTTGGGTTGGTTGGACTGCACATATAATAAAATTTGAAATTGTGATTAGGTTTTATGGTTATATTACCAGTTGGATATAACTATCCCTCAAAAATCATATTCGCTTTCTGATAGGTTAGAGATAAGAATACAAGAAAGTTGAAAACTGATAACTCTTACCTTGTGTTACTCTCCGTTACCAACCTTATTTTATTATATTTTTTACCTAGAATACAAATCTGTTATCACCATAGTTTAACTTCGTTAACTTGCCTTACTTTAATACTTTCCACTTTTATAAACTTGATGATTTACTCAAACTTCTATGTTACTGAAAGAGTTACTTGTGATCTTAACTGATAATAAATAATATTCATTTATCTCATTGAAAAGTATAAAATCAATTGAAAACATTTTTAAACAATAACAAAGAAGATATCAATGATTATATAACTAGAATAGCTATATAAAATGTAATGATTACAATAAATTGATGGATGTAGCCATTACTACCTGGTAGGAGATCATGAAAAATGAGAATAAATGTTTTTTCAACACTTTTATTTGTAACTAATGTTACTGCAGTTTCGTCCTATAAGGACATTTTCAAACTGATACAATAAACTGATGAATAATGTTAGTCCTTATATATGCCTTATATAACAGAGGTACTTGACTCAATTGAGTACCAGAATTTTATTTAGCTGTGACAATGTGGGTACGCTGATTTGAAAACAGGTGGATAAACTAGATTGATTTGATCATTCAACCTACTAAAGGATCAAGCAGACTCATTTGGTAAAGGGTTGTTTGATGAATTCCAGATATCAACTAATCCCTAGCTCTAGTGGGTGCCAATTATTCTCAATGGAAACTTTTATATCGGTAATTTCACAGGCTCTAACATCAATAATTTTGGCTTCAAGAGCGGATAACTTGAAGTCGAAATCCTTTTTTAACGAGCTGATATTATTTTTCAAATCACCTATGTCGCGTACATATTTATCGCAATTACTACACAGAATTTTGATTGCCTTGGATTTGCTACGAGTAAGACGCACGTCATCGGCATTCAGTCCAATACATGAAAGGTGGATTAGCATCCTACATCCATCACATGGTGTACCCGCGCCTTGTTTGATTGGGTTTGTACAATTTGAGCATTGAATAGAACTCATCTTGAAAAACGTAGTCGCTGACTGAGGAAATTTTTACACTTGGCAACAGGGTTCAATGAAATTTGGTGTACTCACTTATTTAGGAACATTAAAAAGGTGTGGATCGATTGAAATTTCCTGTTTCTTGTTGATTTGGAGTCGGCGAACAATCACAAGGAACTTCAGTACGTAGATAATACTCGAGACGATATCACAGTTATTTTAATCGCTGATATTACTAATTTTATAAAATCAAAACTGCACTGACATCAGAACACCACATTGCCACATTGCCACATGCAATGCCATGCCACATATCCACATGCAAACGCGCAGATTTACCTCATCCGCAAAACGTTACTCCATCTATCATTTTAAAGTTCTATAAAACTCTACAAAACCTACGTTCCTCCAATCACCACACCAGTGTGGTGTCCTGTTCTGGTGCGCGATAGGGACTTGTTGGAAAATGTACAGCGTCGAGCCACGCGTATGACTTTTGGTGAAGTGCGTCCAACCTATCCCGAAAGACTGAGGATTGCACAACTGCTAGCTTTTGACCAACGTCGACTCCGTGGGGACCTCATCATATCTTTCCGTATAGCTAAGTATAATTATGCTAATCAGAAAGAACTTTTTTTTCAACAATGATTCGCGGTTACGTGGTCACACACTCAAATTAAAAAAGGAAAAATTCGCAACGAGGCAGAGACAATATTTTTTGGTGAATCGTATTTTCGAAACATGGAATAACTTACTCAACGATGTTATGAATTCCGACTCAGTGAACAGTTTCAAAAACAAAATAGACATTTGCTTATTTGCTTAATCGGCTCTATGCATATATTAATTATTTTTCTTTTCTTTTTGCATGCATTGTAATAACTTGTTGATTTCCTTCGTTTTTAGGCTCACATAGGACTTTGTCCTCAGCCTTTATTTATATGTAATAATAATAATCTTTTCGATGTCAACAAAATGTAATTTTGTACCATCTGAAAAAAATTTGTTTATTGCCCGTATTCACCGTTTTCTCTGCAAAGCGAAGTTTGCGTAAGCCCACTTGAAACTCACGCCAAGCATGAAAGTTTGCGGTATGCACCATAGAATATTAAACGTAGTTTAGCCAAGCGCCAAAATGACTTGCCAACGTTGTAACGTTTCGGCTTCGGGGATAATTACTGTTTACGCGTCAATTTTTAATTTACGAGAACTGAATGTTAGGTGAATTTAATAAAAACTGGGGTGTCGATGGTTTACTTTTACCTTGTTGTCGAAAAGTATCAGAATCAGACAAAAGAACAAACTTACCAGTGAATTTTCATATCTATAACAAGCGAAATGAATGAAAAAGTAAGGGTTCCAAACTTTACCTCAACAGAGAATAAATTTTTGCAATTCAATCATAGCCCCCTGTATTGCAAAATAAGATCTAACTGACCACGTATAGAGAGAGAAATGTTCTACTCAGGACTACCTGCATCTCGGCCGATGGCCAGCTCTGCTGAACAATAATAATAATACTATAAAACCACTTATGAATTTTCTATTTTACATGTGGTCAGTTATATGATCACTTATATAGAGATTGTATTAAAAAAATGTAAAAACTGGTATACGGCGAATACGCCTCTTTGTTATGGAATCGCAATAGATGTATTATTCAAGATGCATATAAATACCATGGTGTAATCACTTGAAACCCTCCTCCTTCCGTACATCTATCAACATGTGAACAAAGTTCAAACACTAGGGTTTCTATGCATTTTCATGTGGTTAAGATATAATTTTCTTACATCGTCCAGATAAAAGTAATATAGATGAGATATGCGTTAGCAACTTTAAAAAAAGTATAAATTCCATTGGAGGTTATGAATTCTTTGTATCCATATACATTCTAGTGAAGTAAAACATGTATATGGGACAATTAACAAATATAAACTATAAAATAATGCTTAGAGACAAGAGCATAGTATATGGATAGAACAATATTAAGTCCAGCTGAACAGATACAAATATAAGTACATGAATTTATGAATATTAGGTAAATGTAAATATATAATGCTACATAATGAACATTGATAGCCATTTCGTGTTTCAATAACTTGTTTACACAAAGCTACATGCCAATTACTCGATAGAGCCTTGGTAGAATTTGTCCACAATATAATAGGGCCTTCCAACAAGGAATTCTTTCACTTTCTTTCTGAATTTCTTTTCATTATATATTCGCCTTAAATTAATGGAAAGGTGGTTAAATAACATCTTGCTATTGAAAATAATAGAATTTTGTGTAAGGGCTAGAGAAGGTGTGGGAAGGGAAACGGAGTAAGACTGACGTGTACTATAAGTTGAGGTGTTACTAAATTGATTTTTATATTTTTTGTGGATAAGACACACTGTTTCCAAAATAAAAAGACATACTAAGGTCAGAAATTTTTGCTTCACAAATAATGGGCGGCATGAATCCCTGTAGCTATCCTTGCATAAATATCTGATGGATCTTTTTTGCAGAGAGAATACCATATTGAAACGAAATTTTGCACAATTTCCCCAGAAACAAATTCCATAACGTAAATAGGACTCAATTTGTGCAAAATAAACTGATCTTGTGATAGTAGTAGTGTGATGTGTCTTGCAACAACGAAATCTCTCTTGCTGAACGAAAATCGCGTTTTCAAATTCAACTTATTTTTCTAGAAACGTGTCATTTGATATATTTGAATAAAAACTGTAATATTTCACAAATATAACCCATATGAAGGTTGCTTTCAATGATTTTATTTCACGATTATGGGAGAACAAAATTCATAGAGAAAGAGGAATTGAAAAAATATGTAAATGTCTGCTTTTTTCTGAGATCAAATTGAAGTATATAATAAAATTTAGTTTTCGGCATTCAAAAACAATTTGAAAAAGCACAATATTTATTAATTAACAGTATCCATTGAAATATATTTTTTAATTTCAGTGACATCGTCATATATGTCAGCGTCAATTTGTCCGTCTGTCGTAGTTGATGGCGTAGATATGGGAAGCCCTCCTCCATCTTCTGGTTTTACTAGCGCAATGCCGTCAGTACCCATTCTCATGCAGTCGAAATGCAGAACTAAAATTGCAGCATTTTGAATTCGTGTCTCGAAATCAAAACACATGTGCAAGTTTCGACCGGGAGTGAATACGTTGAACAGTTTTGCACATGCTTGTACTTGCACTGGAATATAAGGAACAGGGACCGGCAAACATAACGGCGGCGGGTTCTTTGCTGAAAATAAAAATATATTTATCAAGAGTTGACCGCATGAAGAGTACCGTAAAAAAACAGTTGGCTTGTAAATGCCTCATGAATACAGTTTCTGGTACCAATCATCTTCATTACCAATAATCTTTATTACCAATCGCTCGATCGATCCCAACCGCGACCAGATATTTTTCTCGGGAGAATTCATCTAGTTGAAGTTAGAAATGATTCTGCAACGTTACATGGCTGATGGACTGCGATGGTTGCTCCCTAGGTGGCTCGGGAAGTTATTAACATTGCCTATCCAGGACACGAGGTTAATGAGCAATGTAGTCGACGCCGATGACACCAAAAAAAAATTTTTATTGTCACTAGGAACTAACTTGATCACTTCCTCTCAAAATTTTTCTCTGATGTAGAACTTTGTATGTGCAAGTGTTTCGAAGGCAAACTGAAGCTTTTGCAGTGGGCATATCGCTAGAATTTTTTTAACGCTAAATAGCTTGGGCAAATGGTAATTGTCTGGTCTGGTAATTATTGATCTCGGAACATCCAGTCGTACTAGATTAGAGAGTTGTGATATACTAGTAGGTAGGTATCATTTGTTTGTTGTTTGCAAGACACTAAACATATATGACTCACCGCGAAAAGAATGCGATCGACGAACCGCAAGGAAAATTGTAGATGAGTGCCGAAACGACGAGAGAGATCTGCAGTGATCGTTGCCGCTATATAAAGCCGGCCTTCCGTCCCTAGAGGGAGTGAGTCTGTACTTAGAAAGTGAATCGTGCGTTTAAAGAAAGAAATCTAACTGTGAAGATAAATTAAGCGTTATTTGCAAACTGTTGTACATAAATTACTTGTGATAATGAAATATTGTTAAAAATAAATTTGTTTAAGATAGTTAATTCTTTAATTCGTTACAATTGGTGATCAGAAGTGGATTTTTAAAATAAATTTGTGAACGCTTGGTGGACAATCTTTGTATTACAGTGAAATTGACTATAAAACTTTCGCGCAGAGAGACTGGTGATTCATTGTGTTTCGCGAAGTTGACAGTACCGGACTACGGAAACATAAACATAAATAAGTGTTTCGGACTCCATTAAATAAGTGGACATATTCAGTTTTGTGTAAAATAGACAGTAAGAGACAAAATGTGTTCAAGGAAAGTGCGTCTAGTGGACTTGAAAGTTGCTGAGCTGAAGCAAGAATTAGAGGAGAGGGAGCTAGATTGTTCTGGAAAGAAATCAGTACTCCAGAAGAGACTGTGGGATAACTTGACGAAATCAGGAGAAGATCCCGAAACATATTTATTCGAAGTTTCTGGGGGTGATTTGAGTTCAATAATAAGCAAACTCGATGGACTTCAACAAAATTCGGTAAGCCTTGAAGAGAAGCTTCTGGAAAATTCGAAAAGCTTGGAAGATAAATTCCTAGAAAATTTGAAGAGTTTGGAAGACAAGCTTCTTAAAAATTCGAAAAGTTTGGAAGACAAGCTCCGCGAGAATTCGGTGAGTTTAAAAGATGAATTTCAACAAAATTCGAAGTGCCTGGAGGAGAAGCTTCTAGAAAATGCAGAAGGCTTAAAGAAAGAACTTTGTGGTGTGGCGAGTCTACTCGAAGAAAGAATAGGTACCATCGAGACAGAGATAGACAAAATCAGAGAGGAAATCAAAGGGGTTACCGGTTACCGAAAACTCAATTCCGGAAAGCTCTCCATGAAGCCACCCCAGTTCGATGGAAAAACTCCCTGAGAAAATTACCGCCGACAATTCGAAGCTGCAGCCAGAGCAAATGGGTGGAATGCAGAAGAAAAGGCGGTAGCATTAACACTGGCGTTGCGTGGAGAAGTATCGAATATTTTGCAAACCCTCACGGCTCAAGAGCAGGAAGACTATGACCAACTCATAAAGCATCTTGAACTACGGTATGGACAGGCACACCTAGAACACGGTTACATTCACAGCTGAAGAACCGCTGCCAGAAATCATGAGAATCCCTACAGGAGTTTGAAGCCGAAATACTATGACCAACTCATAAAGCATCTTGAACTACGGTATGGACAGGCACACCTAGAACACGTTTACATTCACAGCTGAAGAACCGCTGCCAGAAATCAGGAGAATCCCTACAGGAGTTTGAAGCCGACATAGCTCGATTGGTCCGTCTGGCATATCCTGCTACACCGGAAAATGTAATGGAGCGGTTAGCAGTTCAGGCATTCTGGGATGGACTTCGCGACCAAGAAACGAGGCAGGCCTTAACTCTAGCTCATCTCAAACATCTCGTGGATGCACTGGCAATCGTTCTGGAGTTTGAGGCTGCAAAACAATCCTGCAAGAGCCAGGCCACTATTAGAAAGGTGATAAAAGGAGTTTTGTCTGAAAGAAAACAAATAAGATGCTGGAACCGTGAGAAAATTGGGCATGTGCGTAGCAAATGTCCAAGCATTCAAAGAACCAACACCAAATCAAGAAAACTAGAGAGGTTCCATGAGAAGGGGCAATTTTCGGCCTGTATCTAGCAAGCCCCCGTAAGAAACGCAGATGCCCTGTCACGGAGACCATGTCCCAATGGCTGTTCACATTACCGACGAGCAGAAAAGAAGGAAGCAGCTATTTGTAGAACTACAGCTGTAGACGACAACTGGGAAGACAATAGGATCAAGGAAGACCAAAAGAAAGACCCAGATCATGGTTTAGTCATCGGATAGAATAAAAGTAACCGAAGACCATCGTGGCAGGAGGTAGCAGGATTCGCCAGCGATTAAGTCCTACTGGGCACAATGGAACTCCTTTACCTTGGAAAACAGGGTTCTGAAGCGGGTGTTGGAGTCTGAAGACGATGCAAAAGAAAGGCGCCAGACAGTGGTACCTAGGAGTAGACGACGGGAGGTGCTCAAAGAAATCGATGATGGAGTCACTGGAGGACATCTGGGAGTAACGAAGACCCTCCAGAAAGTAAGACAACGGTTTTACTGGGTTAATTGTCAAGCCTACGTCAAGGACAAGGTGCAGAAAGTGTGCTGTATGTGCTGCCAGTAACGGACCTAGGATACGACCGAAAGCTCCAATGTGCCATTATAACGTGGGTGGTCCTTTTGAGAGAATCGCTATCGACATCGCCGGCCCGTTCCCAGAGTCCGACCATGGGAACAAATGCATCAGGAAGTATATAAGAATGAACGTTATAAGTTCTGACTTCCATTGTCCGAAAAATGTGTTAACAGAATTGGAATCTATGGACGAACAAATTAAATAAAAATGATTAAATAATAAAGTAGATCGATGGATGTAGCCGTTACTACGTGGTAGGAGACCATCATGAAAAATGAGACATACAACTTTCTATTTTTTTTCCACTTGTTTTTGTAACCATCGTTACTGTAGTTTCGTCCTATAAGGACATTTTGAAACGAATTCAATAAACAGAAAATAATAGATAATGTTAGCCCTTATATATCTAAACACCACAGGTAATAATAGAGGTACTTAAATGAGTACCTGAATTTTATTTACCTGTGACAATGTCGATACGCTAATTTGAAAACCGGTGAGTAAACTAGATCGATTTGATCTGTCAGCAGGTTACATCCGCAATGCTTATGCATTTCCAAAAATTTAAATAATTGAATTTCCAACCCTTGCTTGCAAAATTTTCGCATCCTTTGGATTCGGGAACTTGTGGTTGCATTCCAAGGAATGGTTTGAAAACGTCGAATTAGTTTTACCTAGTCTAAAGGACCTTTCATATTCAGCATAGCGTTTTGAGACATTTCGGCCACATAGTCCCACATAAACAGTATTACACTCCGGACACTTAAGCTTATAAACTCCAGTTTTCTCCATCTTGTCCACTTTATCTTTGGCATTAAAAAATATGTTTTTCCGTTAACCTGCTGTCGCCCCCCTTCGAACGAGCACTCTCAAAAGTCGAAACTTCTGCGAGCTAAGGACTAACCGGGTCTTACATTTTAACATATGATTTCTCCGTTAGATAACCTGGCATGTGTGGCCTGATTGCCACTTCCACATTTTTTTCTGAAAAAACCCGCAATTGTATCTGTTCTTTCACCAAAACATCTTACAGTTACTTTCTTGATTTCTGATCGTTTAATCTGGGGGTGGAAAGTCGTCCTCGTTCAGGTTGGAGCCTGGCTGCCTTACCCTTTCAACTGATGTTTGTCAGAGGGACAAATGGGTCATGACTGATGGTAGGATGGCGACATGAATGTCCTCAGACATCAGTGCCGCCCTTCACGGTGTACCCTTACCTGGCTAAGGTGAGATGGATGAAAAGATTGTTCATCTTTTAACGGAGGCTCATTCGACAGTGTCGGGGCCTTCTATATCGGGAGGGGTTGTCTTCAGCATAATCCATAGCTTCCCTAACTAACGGATTATCGTGAGTTTCTGCGCAATCAAAAACTCGCTGATTCCTCGACTGAATGGACTTACGAATGGAAGGTGGCTGCAAATCTTTGCGGATGGCTTCATTCCGCACGAACCAAGGAGCATTCACAATCATCCTTATTAACTTGTTTTTCAATCTCTCCAGATTGGAGATATTAGACGGAGCCGGGGTATATTAATGGTATATTAAACTGTACGTGAATTTGAGGCTTTGTTTCCAGTTAGTTAATTAGTCAGAAAATTACTTCACTACGTTTCGATTATCAGTATCCACAATCGAAGCGACCGTGAAGTGAATTGGTTTGGAATAATTTTCTTATTTTTAATTTTTTCAGTTTTTGCATTTATCATTCATCTCCATCATTTTATTTCTTTTTAATTATATTTTTTGATTGTTTGTATATATTTGACATCTCACATATTTTTTTTATATGTCAACGGCATCGAGTGCTACGGTCATTAGCCTCGTGTTCTGAGTAGGCAATGTTAATAACTTCTCGTATCACCTAGGGGAGTATCATTGCTATTCGCAGTCTGCCTGCCATGTAACGTGGCAGAATCATCTCAACTTAAACTGTATAAATAATCTCGCCAAAAAAATTTATTAATTTCAATTTATGGTAACAATTACTTATTTATTTGTTTTACAATTTAGCATTCTTATTTTTTTTAACTTTCATACTTGTTGTTTATTTTCAGTAGAGATATTGCAAAACCAGCAGATGTGTAAAAAATCATAATAATTTTTGCATTTTGAGCGCCTTATTTTGAAAACACATTGTTACGTTTTTACCCGTGGGTTGACAAATAATTGACTACACTGAATAATCAAACTTAACTCTATTTCACTTTCGAAACACAAATACTTCAACTAAAACGTCAACTATTATTTGAATGTCTATTGCCTTACTAGATCACTTCGCGTACCGCACTGTAACATCCACTTGACTGTGTCGACATGCTCGTTGCTATCCTTTAAATATTGTAATCGAATGGCGTTGAAATTTCGCCGAAGTTCTGTCGAAATTGGTAGCATTATTCCCGCTGATTCTAGAGCGGCAGAAAACATTGTAAATTCGCGCACTCTTAGCTACGTCACGTTTGGTTAATGGTTTCCAGTGGCGACCAGCGTTATTTTCTTTCGGGCATGATTTATAACAAAACTGATAGAAAACGATATTTCATATTGTAGGAATGAAAATAAGTAGGTAAATGTAGTGCAATAAATAGCATACTTGTATTCGTAAAATGAAAAATCTATATATTTTATTGATGCCGTATCGAAGGTCGAAGATATTTTAATTGCCTCAATTATTATTTTGTCTACTTTCAAGTTCAATTAATTCGAAAGAAAATCATTTCTAGGCTTTTTCTGACTGAAAATTCAAATAAAAGAATTACTTTATATTACTTACCAGAAAATGAGTTTGAGTAAATGCTGTTTTCGTTCATGAACATATTCATAGTTAATGCAAATTCATTGGGATCGTAGGTGAAATTCATACAACCTGAAAATGAATGACATTTTGAGAAAATGATCAAGTTGACATCAAAAACAAAAATTTGAAAACACCAATTTTCCTATTATGTTTGTTTACTTCCCCGTTTTCTTTATACCTTCTTGTACTCAAGAAATACCTAAGATTTTTAGAAAAAAGACAATTTTTTTGCTCAACCGTTGCGACAGCAATAACGTTTATATTAAAATGTACAAGGTATATTAATTTGAAGTTCCAATGTAATGAGGGGATTAATTTACTCACAGACAGCTGAGCTCCTCTGGGGGTATTGATGATCCAGAGAGTAACACCGAGACTAGTCTAGGAAAGTCGTGAAGACCGAAGGAACTGGTGGACACGAAGTCGATATATGGACCTTGAATCAGCTGAGGGAGTATCAAAACCATTGGTATGGGACCAGGTCAGAAAATTGGTCAATAAAATTGAAGATATATTTTCTGGGAGAATATTTCTGGGAACACATACGCGAAAACCTTCATGAAGAGACTTCATGAAGAAAAGAACTGGACAACTATTTCAACAGAAAGAGAGGCTCCTAGTAAATAATGAGTTACTCACTGCACATTGTCCAAGACACCACTGAACACAAAATCGAAGGACATGTATAGTACCGAGAAGAAAACTTTTGAAGTGGAAGTCATAAAAAGATGGAAGGAAAATCCATATAAGCCCATGAAAATGCAATGTTTTCAGAGAATTGAAAAAGATGGACAAGCTAGTCGGGTTCCAAGAACCAAAATGAAAATAAAATTAGATGTATTATCTATTTTTATGATTTTTTTTCATGACCACGAAATGGAAATTTCTGAATGTGGAAATAATAAAACCATAAATCGAACAAATGAAGAACTTGATAAGATATTTGAAACAACTATTTTGATCTTAGTTTTGAGCAGACACACTTTCATGTTGGTTTGTTACCTGATACCATCAGTCGTCATGACAAAACCCACAAAAAATGAGTTGAAGTATTATTAACATGTGAAAAAGCTGAAATGTGTAAATTTGAGAATATTTATATAACTCTGTTCATATAACTTATGTGGAACATCATCTTATGATAATAAATTGTGATACTTATATTAAAAGAAAGAAAAAAAAAGAAAAAAATTTATTTCGAAAAATTGGTGTACCTACATCATTACCTTTTGTTATAGAGTTTAAGAAGCATTGTTAACAACATTAAAGAAAAGTTATGAACATATGAAAATATTGTTGAAACTAATGTAATTCGTGGAAAAAGTTTTAGTCAAGTTCACTCTTATTTTCTCAGAAACATTTAATATTTTTCTGAAGATAGTATGTGGTATATGTGCTTAATAGATAATAGAAAATATGTCACTCAGCAGTCAATAAGAGATCATGAACGTTAACACTGAGGATAATGATAGTATTATTATTACTCTCTTACTTATACAGGTATTGATATTATGTTTGCTAGGAAATTTATGTTTATTACTTTATGAAAATGAATTGAGTGGGTGAATAATTTTCTCCTGGGCATAAAATAAGAAAAATAAACAAATCGATAAAAATATGTACCAAAATATAATAAAAACTATATTAGAAGAATCAAATCCCGAATCCTCACCTTCTCTCTTAAAGTTGAACTGGTTTAAATTGATTCCAAGGCAACAGCCACAATTTAGTTCCTGACAAGTACATCCGTTGCTTCTGTAGCCTATTCTCCTAATATTTTTTGATTGTACCTTAACTTGAGCCGTTTTGGTTGAAGACTTCGTGACGTTCACGAGCATATTCTCTATGGAAGTCACCCTCATGGGACGTTTGGTGATTGGGTCATAATACACGTTCATAAAAGGCAGGTCAAACTCTGAAATATAAATGTTCAACTAAAATATTTGATTTATGAGTGTTAAATATTTATGAAACGCCTATGAAATGAGTTGAGTAAAAATGTCTGAATGAGATATGAAGTCGGTTTAATTAGGTATAATCTGAGTGACCTTTTGAAATTTAAAAAATTCTGATTAGTTTCGGAGATATTTGAACCGAAATTGGTTAATTTTGTTCAAAATTTCTGATGTTATTTGAAAAGATATTAAGAACAAAAAACACTTTCTCTTTGTCACTTGTGAAACTGTACAAGATGGCTTCTATAGATTTTTAATCCGTTTCGTTCCCGAGAAACCATCATCAGTGTTATTTCATTATAAGGGGCGACAAAAAAAATAAGCCGATATATATCAGTTTTTCTGGCGACAACTTCACTGATGTATCACCATAATCGTTTGACTAGTTAATTATTGAATTCAAATTTAAATACGATTTGAAATGGGAAAAATTTTCCGGTCCTGCTTATCAAGAACATCTTTTATAGAAATTCAAATTTGAAAAAAAGAATTGATCAGTTTGTTAAGGTGCTTCGGCTGACAATGGACCAGAAGTGTATTGATAATTGAAAAAAAATACTAATGTTGTTCGTTGTGGAAGGTTTACAAAACCTCGACACGTGCTTCCTTGAACAATAACCTGAGGAAGCTATTGCATAGCGAGACACATATAAAAACTTTTCATGGTAAAGAACACATCAAACTATATTAGTAACAAAATGCATTTATGATCCAACACCAGAAAGCGCTCTTTCGACCAGCCATAGGTCTCATCAGTGGTGCTAGGCTGAAACACAAACTAAACTAAATAACAAATAAAGAACAAAAAGCGATGACATCTCTTCTTTGAAAGACGTCATCTATGGGATCTCACAGAGAACCCAATCCTCGAATATCAAAGATGAAAGATGCTCTGGTTTTCAACTGGTTTCCTGGCAGTGAAAAGACAGAGTATGAATCTCGTCGGCGATCGATGTCGAAGTTTAACTTTGCAAATGACCGCCTTGGGGCGGTTTTGATATTCAAGGTCTGAGTTTTTTATATAGATCTCATAGATGGTGTATTCGTAAGCGGAGATGGCATCGTTCTTCAGCCAGTTCCATTCGAGTATTAATACATTACTAGCCTTTTTATAGGCAATATCAACAAGAAGATAAATATAAAAATAAGATAGAAATTCACAAAAATATATTTACATGTAGCATATGTAATATTGTATTGCTTTCTGGGTGCAATCTTCTGAAATATTTATTAGGTTTTCCAATTTTTTATACCTATAATTCTCGGCGGCAAAAGCGCTCTAATATTTTTTATAAGTAATAATGATATTTTATGGAAACACATTTTACTGGTCAACTTGTTTTCTTTCAGCTGATCACGTGTAGCCGAAATTAGGAAATTCCTTTTATTCATTAGTTAGGTAGTTAGACCTACCTCCTCTCCACATTGTTCTGGAGAGAGAGGCTAGATAGACTGCATATAGACTTGTGCATATTGCCAATTGCACAAATCAATTTAATGCAGAGTTCATAACAGACTGTTGCACTTGCACAAACATAATAATATTGTTATCGATACATCAGAAAGCCCTGATTGCAAGTTTCCATTTAATATCAATTTTAAATCCTAAAAATAAGGTAGAAAATCTCCAATATCGAGGGCCAGATTTAAGGAAGGGGAGGCGGGGCTACTGCCCCTTGGCCTAAACAAGAGAGGGTCCCCCAAAATAAAGATAAAAAAATATTAAAATTCTAACGGGTCAGCAACGTTATTTCTACCAAAGATTTTTTTTTATTTTTACTGAGAATACTTGCACAAACATAATAATATTGTTATCGATATGTCAGACGAAATCGCTTAAATGGAAATTTTTAAAAGACACTATCTATCGAACGCATTCATTTTCGCCCGCTTCCCCTTTTTTGAAAACTTTTATCTTTTTATAGCAAAAACCTTTGGCAACTCCAGTCTTCCGAATCCGGCCCTGTTCACATCACTGTAGTAGCGAAATAGAAGAAATGAAAATATGTAAGATAGCAACGACAAAATTTCCCTTAGAGCTGCCGAGAAATTATGAAAACCATAACCAAGTTGTTTTCTACTGAATACTTGAATATTTCTTGAAAATTATCTGATGATTTCATTCAAAAGTTTATAACAATGTCAAGAATGGACGAAATTTACATTAGAAAAACCACATTTCTTCACTGAAGTATTGGGGATTAGTATTGAAGAATTCAGGGGCGACAAAGGTTCAGGAGCTGGTCTTCTGTCAGAGAAATCATTTGTATCGAAAATTAATTAGTGAAGTGTGAAAAAAAGATTCGAATAAAATTTCTACATTATACAATTGAAAAATTGCTAATGTGTCTCTTCAGATTTTGCTGCTATAAAAGTTTCGCCCCATTGAGCTCCACATATCATTTGAGAAAAAACACGAAGGGAAGTTGAAAATGTATTCATCATAAATCATAGCCATCAACTACATTTTTCATTTGTATTCATCAAACTTTTATGCTATTAATCTCCGTTTTTTTTCTGCTTCTTAAAACAAAATATATAGTTGCACAATAACTTAATCAAAAAGTTCATTACCTTTCGTTTCATATACATATATTCCAAAAATAGCTACAATAACTACACAAATACCAAACTTGTTCATTTTTTGAAAGCACAGGTTACTTCTGGACGAGTTTCTACCTCGAGGACTATTAAAACTACTGAAAGAGATTGAGGATGGCTAACTCGATCGTTAATACATATACAAGCCATCAAACACATATTTACGTGCAGAAAGAAACCCGCATTTCTCATTTTACTCCAAAGAAAGTGAGATGAAATGTAACTAATTTGAATACATATACCCATAAATCAGAATAGCTCGATTCTTCAGTTATTTATTGAAAGTGTTGACAAACCATTTCAAGGCTGGTTTTGAGAGTTTTCTAATATAGTTTATGAAAAATATTCAAAGATATTAATGTGCAATCAATATTTTGAACAGTATACCTAATTTGCTTGGAGTATTGAAAGTCCTGTTTGAGGACTGTCGTTGATTTTGAATGATCAATAACTATAGATCATTTGCATATCCTATGAATTTTCGGTATACTCTTCAGAAGAGAAAGTATTTGGACGAATAATGAGTTGTCAACAATACTTTCATACTTATTCTTGAATGGGTGCCGTTTTCAAGTTCACAAAGAACCGCATCTTAACGTACTTTCTATTGCCTAGAAATTCAATAGAAATTCAAAAACACAGGGATGATTTCCAGAGGCAATGAACATTAATAATATATGGCTACCTGTCCTTTAAGATATCTAAACAAGGCCAGGTAATAATAATATAAAATCGAAGTTGAATATCACCATCGTAGTTACCGCGTTCGGAACGGGAACAACTCAAGCACTAACAAGGGCACTGCGACCGTTGCCACATCGCCTTCGATAAAGTCTACCGCAGTAGTAGATAAAACATCAGGCATAAAAACCTGCAGACCACTGCAAAAAAAACGAAAAATAGCTTTCACACAGTAACCTCCGGTCGTGAAGTTTACATACTTGAATGATTATCAAATCGAGATATCCATCTGAACAAGTTTTGAGAAAATTTTTGATTGAAACTGAAATGTTTTTAACCTACGGCCTATGACCCATGTGACCCTGAACCCAGACTCCGAAGAAGCTTTAATCCCGAATTACACCTTGATGAGACCATCATATGCTGGACTTTCATGTACCAAGGTCACTGAAAGAGATCTCAATTTGAGTTGGCAGGCGTCTCAAAAATTACCTGATTTGTTTTGGTGTCTATCGATACAAAAATATTTACCCACCATGATAAGAAGAACGAGATGGTTCGAAAAGAAAAGTATACAGCTGGACGACATTGTTATCATGGTGGATCTGAATGGGCCCACGAGTGTTTGACGGAAAACTGTTGTTGTCAACCTATAACCAGCCAAAGATGGGAATGTTGGCGTTAAAAATAATGCTGGAGATGTATTTGGGCGACCAGCGTCCAGACTGAGTGTTTTAGATGTGAGAAAGTAATTGCTTCCTTGTTGTGGTTCAATTGCTGGGGGCAGAAAATGTTGAGTGTCACTTCAAATGTTGATATTTGATTTGTTAGTTGAATTTTTTCATTAACATTCTGTATTTGATGTGACATATTCATTGACATAACTAAGTTATCGTGAAAAAAAGAAATTTTAGAATGACAGAAAATGAATAATTTCTGTACCATGTTTTTGGTTCTTCGAGCTCAGATATAATAAAGCACAATTCTAGGTAGGGAATAACAATGGGAATTACCGTTTCTACAATGCACTAAACTATTGTTTAAAAAAATGAAAGGAAACTGAATAAATTTCTGATTCCTATGAAATGATTGAGCAACATGTTTCAACTGTAAGGTATAGACAGAACATCTGTGTGGCATTGGCGTCGGGCTAGATTGTTGTGTTGTAGATCTAATGTGTTGCGTCATGGAGCAGGCGTAACATGCTCAATTCACACTGAAAAGAAAAAAGAAACAGACATTTAGTTATCTACGTGATGCTACGTGAGTGGTTTGTCCTGACCACCTTAGCCACACATCCGTTCTGTCTGGACTGCGCCTAAGGTAAATTTAAGGTGTGTCAACACGCCCTAACATGAAGAGCTTGGCTCACTATGAAAACTTTATAGTGCAAGCATTACGTACTCGACTTTACAAAAGAATGTTTTTGGTGGGATAAATGAAATGATTAGATTAGAATCATCTTCCGAAATTTAAAGATTTTATTGTTGTACATGTATAAAAAACTTTCTGTATAGTAAAAATTGAAAACTTCTAGAAAGATATAAATAATAATAACTTCAAATGTGAGACCATGTTACTACCCATCTCTCAGAAGTTTCGATTTTTTAAGGGTTATCGTTTGTACGGGATGATAGCTAATTATCATAGATAATTGAGTCCAACTTCTCGTTTCTCTAAACTCAACTTGTAAGGATGGATTAGGTGGCTTATATTAATGATTCACCAAAAATTTTAATTTCGTTTAAGAAGCATTCTGGATACATTTTATCTACATCATTATTTTCAATAGCTGAATAATCTTCATTTTGAAATTACAATGTTATTCCCAGTTAAGGAAATGTACTACGTATTTTATAAAAATAACTGTAATGAGTCTAAAGGAGTTTGGTAAAACATTATTCACCAATCTCATTTGTAACATTGAGTCTTGAGTTTTTGATAAAAGTTTAAAAAAATGTTAGTTTGTTCATCTATTCTATATATTTTTCCACGAATATTCGCGTAACAAAATATTCGGTGTGTGATCTATCCGGGAAATTTTGCGGTTTTTAGAAGTTGTAAACAGAAAACAATTGAATTATTTTACAAGCGTTTATGGCTTTATTCATGAGAGCCTGGGCTTCCCACGGTTACCAATATTATACAATATTTTTTCTACTTAGTAATTATAAACGATTACGGTGCGAGTTTGAAAATGAGCCTAATCTGGTGAACAATCCGTATCGAACTTCTCCAATTGATTGTGATTCCGTGAGTATACGACTAGAATATTTGAAAGCTTTGATGGGTATGTAGAAACAAAAAAATTATAAACTGGGGTTGTTTATAGTCATTCTTCTTTGCTATTTATTTCCATCTGATTCAGCAAGAAAAAGGTTTTTTTGTGTTCAGATTGTGTCTTACATAATATGAAATTACAAGTGGAAAAACGGAACGTTACATACATGTCCGTATACAACTAGAATTTTTCGGACATATCACACGCTGGGAATAACAGGTGGAAAAGCAAAAACTTTGTTTTACCTTAGAATCCTGACAGTGGGGCATATCTATATTTCTATCTATACATTAATAACAATAATGCCATTTGGTAAATAGTGTTTACCTTTAGTAGCAGTAGCAAAAGTCCTAATGAAAACTAAGTTTCTAAAACATCTCTCTGTATTGGAAAATGTTCTTCAATTTTCAGGAAAAATAATTAGATAAACTTCATTGCAATGAGCCAATCAAATAAACAAATTATATTCTTCAATTTCGATTATTAAGATGGATCATGAGAGCTTTCTGAGTGTTACTCACTATATATCTATTCAAAATATTGCTAACATACATTATTCAACATACTATTGAAAAATGTCAAATATAAACATAACCCTATTTTTGAAAAAAATATATATCAGATTTCTCAAGATTAAATATTTTTTGCTAAAAATGAAACACACCAATGTCGAGGAGCTTTTTTTCTACTACTTGGGATCTGTCCGACTTGTCCATTGCTTCCAAGTCTCCGAAAAACACTGCAGTCTCGTAGTTTTTTTCGATACGTTTTTCATAAACTAGAGTTAGCAATTTCTCAAAAATTGAAAAAATTAATTAACATCCTACAAACTCCATCATATAACCACTATAACCGTAATATTTGCATTAGAATGATAGTTTTAATTATCTACTTTTAGTAAGTGTATGTTGCAGCATTCACATCGTCGTTTTACAATAACACTGTTAATTAATTCTGAATCCTAATTGAGCAACAGAGTACAAATTTGAATATCAGTATCTACATCAACAGTGGACACTGAACATTTTGAACAATTGCAAATATGTATTCACATTGAAAATCTAAAAATGTTTGTGGGAAGGGATGATACCTAATCTGTGATTTTATTAGTTCGACATTTCGGCTTGGACTTTGAAAATATTTTCAAGAAGCTATTACTTCTCTGAGGTAGAGAGCAAGGGTTTTGTGTCTTTACGCCGGGGCATCGATGTACCTACTCCCCAGGTCTCAATCTGCCTGCCCCCAAGTGTGGACTGTCGATAGAAATACTTGATTATCTCTGGTCTAGATTCCAAGCCACGTTGGCCTGGAGGACAGCGAAGCTGCTGACACCCTTGCAAAAGAAGGGTGCTGTAAGTGGTTTCATCGGGCCAGTATCTGTCATTCGCCATATGCAGAGGCTTACGTGTTGCTCTGTTTAGAAATTGATGAAACAGCCACTTCCCTGCAACCTCACTTTCGATCTAGCCTAACCTAACACTCGAAATAGATACTTACTCCATATTAAAAAAATATGTTTCTTATGTGTTTTGGAAATTTTTGAGCAATCTCTAATGACAGAAACTGAAATTCTTTCAATATAAAATCATCAACATAAATCATACTTCAAATCTCAACAGACAACAAAAATTAAATTAAATTAAAAAGTAAACAAAATTTCAAAATCAATAAAAATTTTATTTTTTCTGCTACTTCAAGGCGTCATTTTGTTGTATAAGATAAAGAAAATACTTTTGCCTAATTTCTAGGAAGTTTATTATTTGCTAAGACCGGTTTCGGTTTGTTAGACCATTCTCAAGTAATTGGTAGATTTTGTCAAGACAAGTTTTCGAATATACAATGATATAGTCAGGTACCTGTAGTAACTAATTTTACCTGAATTATCAATAACAATACTACAACAATAACTAATTATCTTTTTTTGATTGATTTGGCCGTTACTTGATGAAGATTCATAGTAATTTCATGAACTACACGTATTCAAATCACTGTTGAAGAAGCTACTGTGTTAGCGAAACATGTCGTGATATATTTTTCAAATAAAGTTTGTGGTGATCAAATCGTGAGGTGTAGTTCATGAAACTAATTATCTTCTATGATATATAACGATTACCAACTATTGATCCCCAAAAATCTACTTGTGTATTTTTCCAGCTATCAGTGGATCCTAAATTAATTGTCAAAATTCACAAATTCAAAATGGGAGAGCTGCATAGTTCTAGTTGTTCATTGAGGTTGATCATTAGGGTTTTTATACAATTTATTCATCTGCCTTTTTTACATATCGATAACATCGGTCATAATTTTTACTTAACGTATGGAAGAGAGCCTTCTTGTCTCTCTGATTGGGTGGACCTTACCGCAGTTCATTCATCGCTGAACATGATTTGAGTGCCCTGTACAAGTATCTGCGAACACAGCAAAATGATGTAGAAATTTATTCCTTTCTCCTCTTGGAAGTTCTTGGAATTTTCTACAACTTCGTGTCTACTAACGAACCATTGTATTTGAACCTGAACCTAACCTAATAAACAATATGAAACCGGTACTAGAGCGGTCCTATAGCGGTAGCGGTAGGAAGTCTGAGACCGATATTCGATTCTTTATGAGGTTAGGTTCAAGAAGGTTCTATAACGGTTATCAATCCATTTCGACGATGTTCTTCGGATTCTATCCATGTGTTCGTTTAGGTTTTTTCTCTAAAAATAAAAACCTGAAGTTCTCAGAGTTTTTTAGTGATCTGGACTTTTTCCGGGAGACTACTGTGACAATGCTCTATATCGTTTAAATGACCTCGAACAAATAGGCTCTGCCTGTTCTTTCCTAGGGTTAAGATAGACAGCCTGGAGGTGACTTGTGTTATAGAGAAAAGACGCAGAAAGTTATTCAAAGTTATTTTGTTTATGCAGGACAATGTCTCTACACCCAAATCATGTGTTTTCCTGCAAACAATTCGTGATTAAGGGTTCGAACCATTTGAACATCCCCCTTATTCACCTACTGACTATCATATATTTTATAAACTGAAAAAAAAAGGCTGAAAGGCCGTACATTTTACTCTAACAAAGAGTTTAGGAAAGTTGTGAAGGCCTGGTTTGCAGCGTAAATTTTTTTTTTTGCAGATTCGATGCAATAAATATATCCAATTGAGAAGAGAGTATGTTGAATAGTGAAATACTTTAACTTTCAAACTTCGTTAGGTTCTACAGTAGGTTAGGAATTTTTCAATGTATACTCGTGTTTATTATCTGAATTGAGAAAGATACATGAAATTTATTAATTATTCTATAATGAGGGTCAATTTTATTAGTTATCAATAGTCAAATTATTTTAATTGCAGAGTACCTACCAAGTGATCAAAATTTTGTTTCCGATAACTTCACAAGTAAAAAAAATAGTGGTCATTTTGAAATTACCATAAAAAAATTATTGAGCTTTCACCAAAACAGAAGAACGTAATTGTGGTAAAAAATTGATATAAAAACTCATTTATCATCGATAAAAAATTATTTTAAATATTATAGTTTACAATTCTATAATAGGTTTTCACTCTATAACTCTCAATAGGGCATCTTATGGATTAACGGTTCCTACAACTAATTATGAAATTGAATATTGTTACGTTTTTCCCTGTGGGTTGACCAATAATTGACTACACTGAACAATAATCAAACTTAACTTTATTCCACTTTAAATACAACAAACACTTCAACTAAAACTTCAACTTTTATTCGAATGTCTATCGCCTTATTAGATCGCCTCGCATACCGCACTGTAACTTCAACTTGACTGTGTCGATATGCTCATGACCAGCATTTATTATATCGTAATGGAAAATTCTTCAAACTTTCATCGAAATCGGTAGTATTATTCTCGCTTCAACAAGAGCGGCAGCAAACATCGTACATTCGTGCGCTCTTAGCTACGTCACGATTGATTCATGGCTAGCAGTGGCGGCCGGCGTTGTTTTCTTTCGGACATGATTTACAATATATATTTTAACGAATGATTATTTGGAATTTCAGGTTTGATGAAGATTTTGAAATAGTTCGTATGACCACTGGAAAACAAAAACAACAATTAAAATGGAAGAAAAAGGAATTGTAGGAATCTACACATCATCCAGTAATTATAATTTTATAATAAATAAATTGATCATCGATTCCATTCACACTTGCACGAAGGGAATTAAAAAGATATGGATTTGCATAGATTGATGAATGTAGCTGTTACTACGTGGTAGGAGATCATATTGAGAAATGCGAATTGAAACTTCCTATGTTTTTATTAAACGGTTTTATTTAGCTTGCCCTCTTTGTTTGGGTCAGTTGAATTTTGATCCCCTTCCTGTTGACAGATTGATCTGAAATCTGGTTCACATATTTAGTTTTGATGACGATTACAATTTGATGAATTCTGTATCATTGTAAATCCAAGATGGCCGCATCTACAAAATTGCGGATCACATATTTTTTCGCAACTACCTTAATATGAATATCAAATCACAGTGCTTGGGACTGGTAGAATAGTAGTACACTTTGAAAAATATTCAATATGGCTGTAGCTACAAAATGGTGGATTAAATATTACTTTGTAATACTGAGGCATTAAATGAACTAAATAGAATGAGAATAATTGAGTAACAAAATAAGAAATTAAAAACTTGAAAACAAAGTAAGTTAATTTTTTTATGTTTTTATTGGAAGAAAAAGAAAATAATGATGTAGATAATGTACTGTAAAACTAAAAAATAATTCGGAACGTCCTGGGTAGTACTCATCACACCACTCTCCTCAGCAATCTGCGGTATTGATCAGATAAAAAAATTGGGCGTTGTATTTACACTCTCATTCAGATTATTCTACGCCCGTTGATTTTATTATTTTTTTTACCACTTTTATTTGTAACTGACGTTACTGCAGTTTCGTCATACAAACACATTTTCAAACGAATACAAATGTTTGAAAATGTCCTTGTTGGATGAAACTGCAGTAACTTAGTTACAAATCAAAGTGTTGTAAAGACATAAAAAGTTTTAATTCTCATTTTTCAATATGAATTTCTATATCTGAGTTACAAAAAATATACTCATATAGATTATTATATTCAGAAAACACGGCCGATCATTTTTTCAATTGTTTACCATCCTTTAAACACTCAAAAATGAAAGCTCCCATTAGTTTCGAAGCTATATATAGCTATATTTTATATACATAACCTCTTCAAAAGTAAAATTTTTCTATAATTTCCAGATTTGGACGTACTTCACACTTTTACTGTGCAAGATGCTGATGAATCTATCTCGAATCAAAAAAAGGTGGCCGAACAAGAAAAATGGTACAACATCATAATTCAAGTCAGCATACCTTTTTTTATAGCAGGGATTGGAACCATTGGTGCTGGACTCATTATGGCAGACGTCACAGTAAGTGTCACTTTACTGTAATTTTCATTTTAAATTATGAAATCATCAGTGATTCTAGAGAATAATTTTAATTCACAAATAATACATGGGCTACAATATGTCAGGGAGAATAATATTATTCAAATTAAACAATATCAATTCAAAGGAAACCAGTGCAAATTACAAAAGACTAAATAGAACACAAATAAATTTCAACCGCCAAGAAGTTGAAAATAATAATCATTGTAATTATTGTAAACTTTGGAAATTTTCCAATGGGGAGAATAGAAACGAAGTTAATTCGGAATGGAAATCAATCTCACTGTTTTAGAAAAAAGAAAGAGCAATTTTTCTTTTCACCACTTGCGGTTGGTTACCTCGTTCACAGGCAAATGGGGCGATGACAAACCTTTTGTTTTTTGTCCGCTTCAGCGTAGGTCGAGGAATGATACTCTGAAGGAACAGACCGACACCGGTGTTCCAATAATTGAAAATCAATTGCGGCAGTTGCATCGCCAACAACAGCATATGCAGGAATAACTTCAGTGAAGAATCCTGCACTGACTTCTGTTGGATATAATCCAACGCCCTTCGTGGTATTATCCAAGGGAGTAGTTGTTTTCTGATAGGTGTCAGTCCATTAACCTACAGTCTAGGGAGTTGAGACTGGTATGAATGAGTATTTTTCATTTAAAATGAATTGAGTTTATACTATTACGATAGTTCAAGTTTCAATCGTCATTTCGTGGTGGTCTTCTAGTTTTACTTTTTTAGACATACGAAGTTTTCAGAGAGGTCCAGGCACTATATGTTCTTGTGCCTGCACTTCTAGGTCTCAAGGGAAATTTGGACATGTGTCTTGCATCAAGGCTTTCTACCCAAGCAAATTTAGGTAATATGAGATGCAGGCAAGAACTAGTCAAAATGGTCATAGGAAATATATCTTTAGTTCAGGTATGTGACATTTCAATGATAGTAATATTTTACGTACTTTCTCGTTTCACCACAGTTTCACCAACTCACATTATTGTTGGCTTTTTGCCCAGAAATGTTTTTACCTTTAAATGAAATTCCAACTATTATTGATGTTATGGATTAAAAACTTCATCAATTAGATAATGCCAGAGCTCAAAACCTTTACAAACTTGATCTAATGCCAAGCAACACTGTTTCAATTTGCCATAGAAATTTTCCACGGTACTGGCTGGGTCGGTCACTTTTGAACTCTTGTATTTCTGAGTAAGTAGTTGAGATGATGAATTCTATTACGAAGAAAGGGTAATGCAGAAAACTGAAAACATGTTTATGGTATCACTTAGCGATAGAAACGTTCAAATGTTATACCTTAGATCCCGTCAGTAACACTGCTGAGTTAATGAAGTGAAGTCTTATTATGCGGTCGATGTCGACTATTGATTTTTTAATAAACCACCATTGAGACTCGTTAATCTTTGATATTCTTGGTTTCGGTTTTTATCGATCCCGTAGGTGGTGCCTTTGTAAAGGGAGTCATCGCTACCTCTTAAATCAACAATCTAACAAGTTAATCGAGTACAACCTATAATAACGATAGTATTATGTTGTCTCAAAAACAGTGTACCTTTGCCAACTTTACGCAAGTCTATTGATTCCATCAGTATAAAACTCGTGTGATAGGGATAGAATGAAATCGATGAAGGCCGTTTTTACCTGGTCTTGATCGGCGAAGGCTCTACCGGTGAGAAAATTATCCAAGACGCTTGAAAATATGGTAATTAGTTGGCAAGAAGTCTGGGGAGTATGGTGGGCAAGGCAGGATCGGACCTCTTCTGTTGACCGGTGCTGGCTGCTGCTGACGCAATTTTCGGTACATTTCGTTGATTTCTTTACAATAGGACTCTGCTGTGATGGATTGGTCCCGTTGCAGAAAGTTATAGTGAATTACACCAGCCGCGGTCCACCATACAGTAACCATGTTTTTTGTGAGTTTTTGCCTTCTCTTATTGTCGTAAAAGATCCACTTTTTATCACACGTGACGATTCGATTCAAAATTATTTTGGTCACGCAAAAGCAAAGAAAAACAGACCTCCAAATGTGACAATTTTTGTCGCTCGTCCAAACCGTGGGGCATCCACTTTTCGAACTTTTTGACCTTTCCAATACGTTTTAAACCACATGGGAGCTGACGATCAATTCTTCCGTCATCCGACGCACCGTTTGTGATGGGTCAGTCTCCACCAGGGTTGTCAAATCCTCGTTAAATCACCTGGATTACTGTTGGTCGACCTCTGCGAAGCTCATCTTCTTAGCAAAAATATCCTGAGCGAAATTTCGCAACTCAACGTCAAACAGTGCGTTCATTATCTGAGTCTACTGAGTCTAAATGTGAATAAAACAAAATTTATGGCTTTTTCACTAAATTCAGATGATCAGCCGCATATTAATGAACTGAAATTACACAAAATGACCTGCACAAAAAATTACAATTGTAAATGCCCGATAATAGAAAAAACTGTATCCATTAAATATTTGGGTCTTGTTATTGATCAACATATGAGATGGGACAAACAAATTTCATATGTAATACAAAGGATGAGGCTACTCATGCGTAAATTTAATAGTCTCAGAGATATTCTTTCTAAAAAAAACTTATTATTAATATATCAGTCTTTGGCAGAATCCATTACAAGATATTGCATGACATCATGGGGGGTACTTTCGACAACCACATTAACAGCTTACAAATAACACAGAACTCAATTTTGAAAATAATTTTGAAAAAAAATAGACGATTTTCAACGGATCATTTATATCAAGAGACTAAATTACTAAACGTAAGATCATTATACAGTTACCTGTGTCTAATATGGATATTCCCGAAATTTAGTAATTACTCAACACATATAACGGTAAGAACTAGAGCAATCGAGAATTTAAATATCAAAATACCTCTATACAAGAAAAGCCATACACAAAGATTCTTGTTTTATTATGGTCCGAAATTATACAATATTGAAGTAGAATTGAAAGTTATCAAAGGAATTTAGAAATTCAAACAAGAGCTCAAACAATTCATAATCGAAAACCCTCAAAAATTTGACATATACTAAAAGGAATAAAAAAGAATTTTACAAAGATCACAATACAGGCATTTCAATGTCTAGGTGAAAGTTACTCATTCAAGATAATTGAAATTTATTAATTATGTATGTCATACAACAAATTGTATATTAGCATGGAATAAATAAATTCGGAAAAATAAATTCGGAAATTATCTGAGGTTCATTAACACTATCATTGCCAAATGTCTGATTGACTTTTCGGTCTGTTTTGGCAGTGCTTTGGTTCAATTTGAATTCGTAGAGAAAAATTGGCCTAAAATCATATAATCGTAAGCTGGAAAAAGGCAAAAAATCAAAATTTGGAAAAAATGAACAGCATCAATGTATTAAGTACAAAATTCCTAATCGATCAGTATAGATATACCACGACACAGTAGAATAAATATTTCATTGAGATATGGAGTTACAAAACTGATGACATCAAAAGGGACAAAACTTTTGAAACAACCTAATAGTATTATCATTTCGCCAAAATTTTGATTTTTACAGGTCCAAGCAATTGTTTGTTCGTGTATAGTATCTGTTTTTGCAGTAGCTGGATCAGCTCTAGTCAACGGAAACTTCAAATGGTTGCACACATTACTTCTGGCAACGGCAAGTACTTTGACGGCGACACTTTCGTGTTTAACTTTGGGTAAATCTATTATAGCAAGCGCCAAACGCGATGGCGAGCGATCGCGCAGGTATAGACTCTCCCAACTGTATTACTATTGGATTACGACGAGCTCTTTGCCGGCCAGTGTAGTACATATAATTAGTTTTAATTAGGGTAGCAAATGAAACATTTCTTCTTTTTAATTTCTTTTTCATATTTTATTTAGTATTACAGGGAGTAGTACAATTCATTGGAATGTTATATAATGATACACTCTTGATGACTAGTTTTTTTGTCAGGTGATAATATTTTTTCAGAAACAACACAAATTATTCAGATAATGCCAAACGCCAACAGCATTGGAGGACAAGTAATGATACGCCTCTGTACAGAGCATTTGTACGCAAGAGCTGTAATGGGGGTTGCACTGAAAATGAGTTTGTGCGCATGAGGGCTAGCTCGCCATCACGTTTGGCGCTTGCTGTGTCTCTGTTGTAGGTGATATAAACATTGAAATCAATTGAAAAAGTGACAAGCTTCACTAGGCATTTTTATGAGGTTCATCATGACAACGCTATATCCATTTTTAATTTTTTTTACAGATATGGTTCTGATTAGTATTATTATGATATCCCATAAAATGAAACTAAATCCAGATAACTTGGCCACACCAATGGCTGCCAGTATAGGGGATGTAGTTTCTTTGGCTACTCTCTCAATGTGGGCTAACTTTCTTTATTCAATCCACGGTAAGTGATTTTACTTCCATAATAAAAAAAAACTCCAGATAAAAGCTGCACAATACAAAACATTTATATATGGTAAAGGGGATTTATAGTATTGTGAAAACATTACACCTACTATTTTTTTCAACATAAAAAATTATTAAGAACTAAAAAAAATGATTCTGGGCGAATTTCATTGTACACTGGCCATAATTAATTCAGTTTAAAAACAAACTTTTTATTGAATAACATATTTTTTATTTTTTTTATTCTAAAAATGAAATCGGTATGTAATTTGAGGAATATTGGCAACTAATTTCCCTGAGTAGATGATTTGAAAAACAGTCTCGAAAAAGCCATTCAGCGAAAGGGGCGTGAAGTCACAATATTTGCGGATGGAAATCATCTTCAGTTTCAGACTTTTCTGTGTAAGATATATGAGTTGTTTGTATGATGCCTATGTTGTGGAAGTATGGAGGAGAAAAAAGTAAAAAAGGACAAAAAAAAGAATTGTATAGTGAGTACATGGGCGTAATTATCCAATCCGAAATGCACCAAACAAATTGTTTGTAACTTTCACCAAAAATGAAAAAGTTAAAGAACCTTGCAAATAGCTATCCGAAGAAAACCAGTTCGTTCAATGAACTTGTTTTTGTTGCGAGTATCATTTCAATCCAAATACATATATTTATTTCAAAATAATAATGAAATAAATGCATTCATAACTGTTAATGAATATGTTGGACAAAACTTTATTCATTACGTAAATAACCCTTCACTTTCATTTCTTACTGCTATAAAACATTTGAATTATAATAATTCAACATCAGAAAAACTTTTGATCATTGAATTAGATAAAAGAACTCAGTACATATTCTCACTGAAACATTCCACAACCATGAATAAGGCCACTCTATGGTGAATTGCATGTGCTTGGCTCAATAAAACTTTCCAGGACTGAATACATCTCAATCCAGTCATTAAATGTTTCTCTTTTTGACAGATCAGACAAAGTTTAGACTTTGTTCCGACAATCACACATATCTCGTGATGTCACACTAGCTTTCGCTCAGTTTCAAAGTTGCATATCTTGATAACTGTAAAAGTTATCGATGATAAATTGCCATTGTATTCTGTATGACAAGCACCATCAAAATATATGAAAAAATGCACAAAATTAGATATGAAGAACATGTTGGACATACTAAAGAAAATAAGAATAGCCTTTCACGGTTGGAGTCAAGATTGAAGTTGAAAAAATCTGGACTATCAGGCCGTGGTCGAATAGGAACTTGTAGTTACTGACGATCACGACCTGATAACCCGGATTGTGATCTCACTAATACTAATACAGATATAATTTATTATTCTTGCAAGGTATCTTAATCTCTTATAAACAGTCAACATGATAAAGAGAGAGATCGTGGAAATCATACGTGTATTGAGGAACCAAATGAAATTATAAAATGCAGCAAAGTCAATGAAACAAAAAGTATAGCATGAAGTATACAGTGCTTTTCTTTAATATCCTCCCCTTATTTTTTGAACGGGTCAACTCAAAAAGTTGAAATTTGGGATAATGAAATTATTGCACTTTATTTCGAAGTGAAATTGACAGATGAAACTTTCAAGATGGCGACTGGGCGTCATCTGGGTGAATATTGCCATTTGAAAAAAATGTACATTCGTCACTAAAACAAATATTGTGGAGATAGCTAGGATGCCCTGCAATGGTTTCCGTCATGATTTCGCAGAATTCTGTTTTTCGATCAGGGTCATCTTCAGTTAATTGGTGTACCATTTTAATTTTGTATGGATGATACCTATTCTTCTTCAAAAGTCTCCTTACAGTAAAAGGAGACACCTCACAAACATTCACGACGGAATAAGTTCAGGATTTACTACCATCTCACCAATTATTTGCACTTGGCTGTTCTTCCGGAATGGACGGATGACCTGGGGGCTTTTTGTTATGTACACTACCGGTAGTTGTGAATTTGAAATATTTTCTACAGATAGGACAATTCGGAAAACGTTTATTGAAAATCCTTTCGGTCTCGTGAAAGTTACGCGTCGCACCGTAAATAAAAATCGAAACTTGGCAATCAAGTTTTCATTGAACTTAGAGATATAAAAAATATTAATGAACGCAAGAAAACAATTAGATCCTTCATTGATCACAAATTTGATTTCTTAAAAGAAATATTTGAATCAACACATTGAATCATGTCTGAATTTTGATTTATCTCACACCTGCCTCCTCTTCGCCTTATTGTCTGGTTCAATACTTCTTCAGGTTGATCATTGCTTTCCATAATTTTTTTATCATACATTTTTATTTCTTACTGAAAGGAATGAATAGTTTTTTTCTCAAATTCATGGTTGTGTTTAGATTTGGGAAAATACGCAACACAAGCTTTGCTTAGGCGTTTGCCAAGAACTGAACACCACCACTTATTTATTGTTATTTATATATTTTTTTTATTTTTTTAATCTACTGTAATTATTATTAAAGATATGGTAACATTTATTATAGACAAGAATATGCATCTGAATTGAATAAATTGATTGATTGATTCATTAATTTTTTTCTTCCAATGGACGTGAATTGATCATTTTAAAGATTGTTGACGTGGTACCTTTCTACTAGTAAAACCGAGAATTAAATGAGAATATTCTAACTGAACAATGATGTTCATTGTCGTACTGACATTTTTTGTCGTTTTTATAAACAAAAAATAACTTAATAAATCTAATCGGGTTGTTGGAATTGCCATACGGCAGATAAAAAGGAATATTTCTAGAAATATCGATATTAATGTGTTTGTCTTCAAGAAATTATTAAATGTTTCGCCATTTTGTAGTAGGTGAAGATATTGATTTCACGTTCTAGGGTTGTGAAGTATTCGTCAGGAGCTTCAAAACAATGTGTCACAAGACCCCCCTTTCTTTTTAACTGTTTTTTTCCCAGATAGCGCCCAGTCGTCATCTTGAACGTTTCATCTGTAAATTGCACTTCAAAATAAAGTATTCATGCATTAATTTCATTATCCTAAATTTAAATTTTTTGAGTTGACCCTTTCAAAAAATAAAAGAGGGGGGTGGGACATTAAAGAAATGCACTGTATACACTAAGCAGGAACGCTACTACTATAAATCACGTTTTCTAAAAACACTTTTTATTGTGTGATTTTCACTAGACAGTTTTACAAAAGCGCAACACGTGTTTCGCCATACAATGGCTTCCTCTGGCGTGTCTTAATAACCAATTCTACACATTCAATGCTATATATACCTTATTCTACAATCTGAAGTACCTCAAATTCTAGGTCTAGTAAAAATCACACAATAAAGTGTTTTTAAAATACGTTAGTTATGGATTTTCATCAAGTATCGGCCGATTCCATCGTATATACTATAAATCATTCATCACTTATAATCACTGCAGTAATAACAAACACGGACTTGTTTGTGGAAATATGATTCAGATATTATGAAACAATACTGATTGGAAAATAATCTGAAATAAATCGTCATGAAGTTAATAAAATTACTACCATAATAGAGTGCTGTAGTGATAAGAGTTGTTTTGTATTCTTTTTAAATATTAATAAAGCAACAAGAGACCAAACCGGTTAATATCACTGTTTACTTGCTGTTTTTGGGTTTTTACAAGTTTATGGACCTGACATTGCCTCTTCAATGGCGATAGACATTATTAAATGCGATGGGGCAATGATCGCAGTTTCAGACGAAATACAATGCATAATATCATTGATATTATGGGTCGTACATCTAATATATAAAACAAAGTCGCAAAATAATGTTAGTTACACTATTCATAACTCAAGAACTGCTGGACCGATGCTTATGTTTTATTAGGGGATTTGTCTCCGCCCGGAATAGCCGGAAATAGGGATCAAACGAATTGATGACGTTCGGTTTGTTAGGTTATGATAGTAGTTTTAGTGCACGCAAAGGCAATTGGGATTATGATATTTGGGATTGTGCATGCATGAATAGCTGTTATGAACAAGAGTCTTTTGATTTGCAGACGAGTACCCTTGGTTGATGGCGGGTATTTTAGCCATATATGTGTTTGTATTGCTTCCGATTTGGGTGATCATTGTGAGTAATAACAAATATACCAAAATGATTCTCTTGCATGGGTGGACTCCAGTAATTTCTGCTCTATTTATAAGCGGGTGAGTTTTAATATCAATATATAATCATAAAAATGCACTTCTTTTCACTGGTGAGTATTAACGTTGTTCTTCAGATCAGGTGGTCTAATTTTGGATCTGGCTGTAGACGAATTCAAAGGCTACACAGTTTTTCAACCGATCATAAATGGAATCGGGGGCAATTTGGTTTCCGTTCAAGCAAGTCGAATTTCAACGTTGTTACATGAAAACTCTTTCAAAGGCGTAATTCCACCTCAAACAAAACAATGGGTCGCACCATGGACTGCCTTGATCAAAGGAGGTAGGTATGCCGGTTATGATTATGAAAATGGTGTTAGATTGCGATAAATGGAACCCTATTCAACTGAAAATATTTTCTTTCGGTTTCGATTCTATATCAATTAAAAACATGTCGTTTTCTCTCCACATTTTTATTAAACGGTTTTAGTTAGTTCGCCCTGTGTGTTTGTTTGTGTCAAATTTAGTAATTGAAGTTTGAATCCCTCCCTGTTGACAGATTGATCTGAAATCTTGTACACTTGTTTAGTTTTGATGACGATACAATTTAATAAATTTTGTGTCATTGTAAATCCAAGAAGGCCGCAGCTACAAAACGGCAGATTACTAATTGTTTACTACTACCTCAATATGGGTATCAAATGATAGGGCTTGACTAGTAGAATAGTAGCATATTTTGAAAAAGATGTAGATTCAAGATGGCTGCAGGTATAAAATGGCGGATTGATACTGAGACACTAATAATTTGAACAGAATGAGAAGAATTGAGTGACAAAATACGAAACTAAAAACTTGGAAAAAGAAAGATAAATATGATGTAGATATTGTACTAAAAAATAATTAGAAATATCATAGGACAGGCGGTCATCACACCTCTCTCCTCATCAATCAACGGTATATATCAGGTTACGCTACACCCCAAGATTTTATAATTTTTTTATCTGATCAATAACGTAGATTGTTGAGAAGAGTGGTGTGATGACTGCTACCTAGGACCTTCCGAATTAATTTTTAGTTTATCTACATCATCATCATTTTATTCGATTTCAAAACTTTGAAAGGTGTCTCAAATCCTCTGATCATGTACCGGTCTTAACAATTTTGTTAATTCTGTGGCTGTTCTCTGAGGGATAACATTAGATTTCTTTGGTCTACAACGTGTTCTTTGAAACGTAATATTATAGTCTACGTAGTTGGACCAAAGTACTTTTTTTTCGCAAGCCTTATAGCTTATTTCGTAAATCCCAGACTTTTCCGTTTCCATCATCATGTCTTTCAAATTACCTAACACTTGTTGAAGTGTACGATGTGTTTTGAAAGCCAAAGTTTTCGAAAATTCGGTGCAATCAATTGATGTGTTCTGGCTCATTAGGAAGATATATGAATTTTGAGTGTTTTAATTTTTAAAAAGTTGAGATTCACAGACACTCTAAATTTTTATACACGAATAGAAGCTTTCCGTTGTTTTCGATTCCATACGTAATATCCACGTTATATTTGTTCGTTCATCTCAACAAGTGAGCAACCTGAAAAACAGAATGACAAAAAAAAAGTTTGGGATCCACAGATAAGCTGTGGGAGTTATGACAAAAAATACGTTGGTGAAACTGAGCGGACCATACGAACGCGTTTCAAAGAACACGTTTCAACATGCCTAAGAGAACGACCACAGCCTGAATGGAAAATTCTTGAAATTATTGAGACCAGTAAATGACAATAGGCTCCTAGGTGCATTTGGAAGTTAGGAAATATATAATGTGGAAATAGATTAACAAACAGCAATAAAGGTTCCTTCCCAAACAGTCCGTTGTTTACTCTCTCACATGATAATTACGAGTAGAAACAAGAGGAGTATAGGTATAATTAGTCATTAACATACAATGCATTTCTTTATTTTTTGAACGGGTCAACTCAAAGAATTAAAATTTGGGATAATGAAATTAATGCATGAATACTTTATTTTGAAGTGAAATTGACTGATGAAACTTTCAATATGACAACAGGGCACCATCCGGGAAATTAAAAGGAAAGGGGGGTTTTGTGATACATCATTTTGAAGCTCCTGACGAATACTTCACAACCCTAGAAATAAAGTCAATATCTTCACTTACTATAAAATGGCGGAAAATTTAATAATTTCCTGAAAACAAACACATTAATATCGATATTTCTAGAAATATTCCTTTTTATCTGCCATATGGCAATTCGAACAACCCGATTAGGTTTGTAAAGTTATTTTTTGTTTATAAAAACGTCACAAAATGTCAGTACGACAATGAACATATACATAACAAAATGCCCCCAGGTCATCTATCTATTCTGGAAGAACAGCAAGTGCAAATAATTGGTGAGATGGTTAGTAAATCCTGAACAATCTACTTATTCCATCGCGAATGTTTGTGAGGTGTCTTCTTCTACTGTGTGGAGACTTTTGAAGAGGAATGGGTATATACAAAATTATCCATATAAAATTAAAATGGTACACCAATTATCTGAAGATGACCATGATCGAAGAATAGAAATCTGCGAAATCATGACGGAAACCATTGCAAGACATCCTACCTACCTATCTCCACAATATTTGTTTTAGTGACGAATGTAAATTTTTTCTAAACGGCAATGTTTACAGACAAAATTGCCGTTATTGGAGTGACACCAACCCTTACGTTTTCTGGGAAACACATACTCAAAAAATTAACGTTTGGGCAGGAATATTGGGAAAATATATTGAAGGACCTCTATTTATTGATAAAAATTCAACAGGGGAACTGTATTTGAATATGCTGGAAACTACTGGTGACCCTCTCATCACTGAAATCGTCGAAGCGAATCCTAATGAATTCGATATGGATATTGTATTCCAACAATATCGAGCACCACCACATTACTCCAGACAAGTAAGAAATTATTTGGATATTACTTTTCCTGGTCGTTGGATTGGCCGTCGAGGTCTTACAGACTGGCCAGCCCGCTCGCCAGATTCGACACCTTTTGACTTTTTATGAGGCTATTTGAAGCAAAAGGTGTACGAAACTGAACCTGCTTCAATATTGGATATACAGCAGAGAATAATAAATATTTGTAGAAATATTGACGTTACTGTGTTCGAAAATGTTCGGCGTGAAATATCGGATAGGCTGTTCATATTTCAAGAAGTTCAAGGCAACCATTTCGAGCATCTTCTGATCTGACCTCAAGCTTATTACCTCATATTATGTAGTTAAATGTCAATGTATTAAAAGTTATTAAAAGTTCCGCCATTTTGTAGTAGTTGAAGATATTGACATTATATTCTAGGGTTGTGAAGCATTCGTCAGGGGCTTCAAAAAGATGTGTCACAAGACCCACTTTCCATTTATTTTTTTTTCTCCCAGATGGCGTCCAGTCGCTATCTTGAAAGTTTCATCTGTCAATTTCACTTCAAAATAAAGTTATTCATGCAATAATTTCATTATCCCCAAAAAATATTAGGAGGGGAAATTAAAGAAATGCACTGTATAAATTAGGATACAACAAACTAACACGATAATCAATTCTGGGAACCCATCTAATAACGCCAATTCAGTGACCCTTACCGAAAGCAATGGTTGGTCTAGATATTATAAAAGGGTCTGACTTAAATGCAATTATTTCTTGATGATGCTAACCTGTTTAGCGAAACGCGCGTCGAGAGATAGTGTTTTTGTTCTAGTGTGAGAAACGTTTTTTCATTAGTTTCATTTCAAGCCTATCAAAATAATAGTTTGTTGTTAATTAAAAATCCATAATCATAACTTGAAGATCTGTTGAGTCCCTGTTAACTGAAGTCAAAAAATATGTGGGACAGATTCAAGACTAAGAAATAATCCGAGCATCTTTTGTTGCAGTACTTCCGGCTAAAACAGCTAGACTCCTACTTCTGATCTCCATTCCCGGACATGCAGTATTCGTCTATGTTGCTGACTTTATTTACAATGGAGTATCGACTCTCACTCCGGTTTTTATTTTGGTTTATCTTCTAGTCGGTCTAGTTCAACTTTTATTACTATTATACGTATGTCATATAATGGTCCACACTATATGGAAATATCGGATGGACCCCGACAACTCAGCAATTCCATATTTGACAGCACTGGGAGATCTGTTGGGATCAACGTTACTACTTGCTGGATTCTTCTTTTTAAGGTCCATCCACCAGGAATATCAACCAGTTGGATGATACTTGAAGTGTATGGAATATGAAAATAATGGCTGAAGTGAAGAGATTGTAAATGCATCCAAATCAATCTCTGAACTTTTAAGATAAAATATCAAAGTTATAAAATGTTCTCAATATGTTACAAGATACGTTTGTGGTAAATTGTCAAAAGATCTGACGGTGAGAATACCACTGAATATCAGTTTTTTGTCGGATATTCAATTTATGGGTGAAATTAAATGATATCACGTCTTTTGGGTATGACTGAAAAACGCTTCTCTTAGATATGCTTTACTGACGCATATCTGAAGTATGAGGCATATCACTTGAGGTCTGATGAATAGGATCGTTCTGTAAATTTCGTAGGTATATTGTATATTCAAGACAAATTGTTTAACTAATTTAAATGAGTCTTATACAAACGTACTATCACACTATAATAAAGTTATTTCCCACATATTACCTTTTTTGAACAAACAATGGCTGCTGAGTACCATCTTAAACAATTTTTTTGAATAACATTTGAGAAGTGACATTTTTGTCATTTCAAACTCAACCAAAAACATGAATATTATTTCAATTAAATTTTCATTGTCACAGTAACTCTATTTAATGAAAAATGTGAAAATTGCTCAAAAACCCTATTTCGAGGACATATTTGCGCAAACTTTCATATAAGCTCCAAACGATTGGCATGCTCAAAAATGCTCCAAGATCTCCATGCTCCAACATCTTTAAGAAAAAAAAGATAGAAAGTGAAGTAACTTCAAAAAGTGTCCAAAGAAAGAAATGTTTCACCCCTACAAAATAAGAATGCTCTCATGAAGGAAAATCTAGAGAGAAATATTGAATTCAGCAAGTGATTCACAAGAAGAATTTATAGCACTTTTCTGCGAGGTTTGTATGATCTTTAAAAAACTATTTCAAGATTTTTTTATAACTGCTTCCTGTAGCTTTGATGTAGCCTATAAAGGAATGTTACCTACATATCACTAAATAAACATTACACGATATGTCAGTTAAAAATTTAACTTCCATTGGGATACATTTCATGAATCCACTTAAACCCTTTGATTGCTGCATACATTGAACACTGGTTGTTGTGAATGTTATCCGGTTGTTTCAGAAGGTTTGTCCATTTTTATGAGTATATTTTAAACTGTGATATATCAGTGAATACATATTCAATTTATTGGAAATAAGCGCCACATTTGCAAACGTAATATATGTCGATTAATTCCGTCAGCATAAAAATTGGGTGCGCCCCGTATTCGATGAAGTCGACGAAGGTCGTTTTTCCTGTTCCTGATTGGTGAAGGTTCTACCGGTAAGATAATTATCAAAGTGCATGAAAAAATGATAGTCGGTTGGCGAGAGGTATCGGGAGTATAGTGGGTGAGGCAAAACTTATTCGACGCTCAATTCGTTTAATTTTCGAACGGTAATTTGTGAAACGTGTGGATGGGCGTTGTCGTGAAGCAGAATTGGATCTCTTCTGTTGACCAGTGCTTGCTGCGAAACGCAATTTTCGGTACCTTTCGTCACAATAGGTGAGGATGGTTTGCAGAAAGTTATAATGAATCACACCACCTGCTGACCACCTGCATTTGGGAAGTGCTTGGGTGGCTCATCAGAGTTCAACAACTGTTCTGAACGTCTCCTGTTGTTGTTAAGGATCCACTTTTCATCACACGTGACGATCCAATTCAAAAAAGGATCGTTTTGGTTGTGCAAAAGCAGAGAACTGACTTCGAAACGTGACAGATTCTGTTGATCGTTCAAATCGTGTAGCATCCACTTTTGGAGGTTTTTGACCTTTTCAATATGTTTTAAGCCATAAAAAGCAGCATGGGAGCTAACGCCCAGTTCTTCCGTCATCCCACACACCGTTTGTGATGGGTCCTCAAGTCTGGTACTGTATTACTTAATGTAGGTCTACCACTTCAAGGCTGAAATTTCCGGAACAGAATTTCGCAAACCAACTTCGAACAGTGTGTTCATTGAAATTATCATTTCCAAATGCCTGGTTAATTTTTCGGACTATTTCGGCAGCGCTTTGGTTCAATGGTTCAATTTGAATTCGTAGAGAAAAAACGGAGCTACAGGAGCTACAAAAGGACATGCCATCAAAACGGGTAAAACCTAATAGATACTCTGAACATTCCTAGTTAAATGTATTTTCTCAGTATGGGTAGGCATATTCAAAAGCCTTAAGTACTTTTTGACTAGAAACATACAAAAGAGAAGGCCTGTTCTACTTCGTTATCCTAATCGATTCAAATTTTCAGGAAATAGTTGGCAACTGCATACTGATTAGGGTCTCACATGCAGGATGATTCGAAACTAAATAAACCCTCAATCAAAATGAAAACGGGATATTTTTAGGAGAGATTAGTTTTTGGGAAAAATATTTTTGGTTTTCTACTTCTTTACCAAAGATAGGAAGACATCAATTAAGTTGTAAATAAAGTATTTACAATAATATGTAACTCATGCACAAAAGTTTCTTTCAGATAAACTGTCAATTCTGACCAACTAATTCCAAACATATGAACATTGAATTAATGAAAATCACTTTCTCCCATTCACAAGAGATCTATATAGCGTAATATATTGAAGAGCATTGGTATAAAATTTCACTTACGTGACAATTTGTCACCCTTAAGGTGTAGATAGTATTTTTATAATAATACTAGCTTTTACACGCGGCATCGCTCGCATTTATGCCATTAAGTAAGTGTCAATAGTAGAGATAAATCAATATGAGAACTTTATTTTAATGCTTGGCTGGGATTATCAATTTTTTTAAATTATTACATACGATGAAGTTTCGAAAATTTAAAATATGCTTTATTGAATTGCAACAACAAATATTAAAATATATTTCACTGTAAGAAAAATGAATAATTTTCAATTTTTTTATCTTACATAAAAAATTTATTTTTTATAAAAAGTATCCTGTTACTCCTAATACCTTCAAGAACATGATTACAAAATTTAATGATGATTGATTGAGTAGTTTTCGCGTGAAACCGTAAAAAACAAACTTACATTCGCATTTATAATATTAGTAGGAAAGTAGGGATAGAGATATTATATGAGATATATTCAATTCGATACAATTCATCAATTCAATTCAATTCAATTCAATTCAATTCAATTCAATTCAATTCAATTCAATTCAATTCAATTCAATTCAATTCAATTCAATTCAATTCAATTGAATTCAATTCAATTTTAATTTCCTTAAAATTAGAGTACAGATTATCAAATCTTTACATATTGCTCTCGACCCCATTGGCCTAGGCAAGATTGCCTGTCTGCCATGTGCTCGATCAGAGAAATTAAGAGTTAAATGTACATTATTTGACATGGTGAATAAGCAAAATAAACTAGATTTCTGATATTGAATATTTTACTTCCGGATGTGATCAACATAGGGGAGAGGATGCCAAGACGATGGCATTTTTTTATGTTGATTTTGTATTCAGTATATCATAAAATTTCTCAGAATAATTCATAACATATTTTTTTGTTTCAATATTGTATTTCTTCATTTTTGGAATCTGTTTTAGGTCAATCGGTAAGGCGTTGAAAAATTTGGGACCGAAAAAAAATAGAATGTCCTTTGTGTTAAAGTTTTTTAAAGGGTTAGATATCAACATTCATGTTTGTGGTATCTGTTTATCCTAGTACTTTTCTGGTTGAATTTTTCTTGATTCATAAACATTTTCTTCAAACATTGGTGAGTGTATAATAGTTTAACATTTAATATATTTGCTTGCTGATATTACTTATCGGTGGAAAAATGTTCATTTTTTTCCAGGATGATTTTTAATAGTGTGTTTTGTGTTATTTGTATAACGTCCAGTGTGTTGTTGAAGCCTCCACCCTATATTGTGATGCAGTAAGACAGAATTGATTCGGCTGGGGGCTAGGGAGTTGTAGAGTATCATGAGGTTTTTTCTGGAGAGGATGTCTCTTAGAGAATAAAGACTGTGTATAAGTGTTCTAAGGCGTTTGTTTACATGCATGATATGATCAGACCATCGTATGTGTTGGTTTAGGGTTACCCCTAAATATTTAATCGATGACACTTTTTTAATAGTAGAACATCCACATACGTTTTTGTTACAGTTTATAGTGTATAGTTTCAGAGACAGATTATGTTGTTGACTAATGACCTTTGGTGGAAAGGCAACAAATTTAGTCTTATCAATATTTAGAGTAAGCTTATTTAAATTCAACAATGCATATATATTCTGTAAATTTGTTTCGGTGGTGTGTTTAACATCCTCTATATTCTTTCCCACGCAAATCAAAGCCGTGTGGTCAGCATAACAAATAAGGTGTTCTAGACCATCTATTGTTGCTATACTGTTCATGTATACAAGAAACAGTATTGGGCCCAACACTGTTTCTTGAGGCACCCCGATGTACACTATTGACTGCGTACTTACCTCATTCCCAATGTTTACTCTCTGGACTCTATTTGTTAAGTAATTGGACATAAACATTTGTGGGAGACCACGAATACCGTAGTGACTCAATTTGTTTAGTAGAATTTCGTGTGATACTGTGTCAAAGGCCTAAGCGAGATCTAGAAAACCTGCTATGCATTTCGATGATTTGTCCAAGGCCTCTACTGTTTCCTCTAGAAAATCAACTACTGCGTTTTCAGTGTTTGAATTTTGGATAAAGCCATACTGTCTGTCAGTAATGACGTTATGTCTGCGAAAAAATTCCGTCAATCTTTTTATAACCACTTGTTCAATGATGAATGATGAGTGATTCTTTCCATTGTTTTGGAATGTTTCCACTTGAAAGGCATACATTGATTATATGGATTAATGGGTGTATTATGTATTCATGTATAGTTTTTACACTTTTCACAGAGAATTTATCTGGGCCCGAGGAACATTTATATTTTAGGTTTGGAAGATGAATAATAATTTCGTTTTCCGTTGAAGGTTCAAGAAAAATGGTTGAGTCTATTTTGTCACCTTCAGGAAAGTTTTGTTTCATATTAATATTTTATATTTTTCAGACATATTTATACCCAAGTTTTTAAAGAATTCATTGAATATATTTGCTTTATCTTAATTATTTGGTAATATCTCACCTTTACTGGTTATTGAAGTGTTGTCTATTTGTTTATTTGATTTTTATGCCGCGCTGTTATATATAATTGATAACCGACCAAATTTTTTTATATTCGTTTCCTGATTCTGCTATTTTATTTTGATAGAATTCATTTTTTGTTGTTTTGATCAAAATATTAAGTTCATTTCTGTATTCTTTTTCAGTTTCATTTGAGAAATTTCTAATAAGTTTTCTTTTCAAGCGATCCGTGTTCAATAGATGTAATAAGACCAACAGTGATTCATGGTTTAATTTTTTTGTAGTATTTATTTTTGAAAGAAGCTATAATAATAATTTGTATGTATCTTGTTTTCCG